AGAGATCTGGAGAATGAAATCTAGAGGAAGGGAAGAGAGGGCCTGATGGCGAAGGAGCGAACATACCAAGATTTTGGAGTGAGTGGCAGAGCACAGAAATCACAGGCAAGGGCGGAGGAGCTGGGAGGCCTGGGAGATCAAAGAGCCTTACACCCCACAGTGCTGGGGGCCGAGACAGGTGCAGCGGGCTCAGTGTGCCCGAGACCAGGAACGGCGCGTGTGGATCGTAGTGTTTGGAATAGACAGACCCTAGATGAGAATAGATGGGAGTGTCGCCAAGAAATTGGGCATGTCAGATGATAGATCTTGTGAGGAAGGATTAGGGAATGCCAACGACATGTGGAAAGTGAGGAGATGGACAGGAGTATGGAGAGGTGAGGATGGCGGGGTTGGGGGGGCGTCCAAGTCAGGACGTGACCACAGGTGATGTGCCTGCTCTGTAGGAGAAGGAGAGATTGAGGGGGTGGCGAGAAGACACAGGAAGAAGATGGGACTGGGGAGTTAGTGCTGAACACAAACGAGGATGGTGGCTTGGGGTCAGGACTACAGGCATAGAGACAGAGCCTGGATTCTAAAGAAGAAAAGTGGGGGTTGAGCTGGAGGGGTAGCACCAGGAATTAACTCACTTGTTGGGAAATTGGAGTGAAGCAGAGAGAACATCTCCCTCCAATTTCCCAGAAAGATCTGGTGGGACGTGCTAACCCACTGCCTGTCCTTTCATTAAACATTAAAGCAGTCTTCCTCACACTTCTTGACCAAAGAGAATTTACATCCTTGGAGCATATTCTCTAGAATTCTCTAGATAGTCTCCTAGAGGAGGCCAAGAGAGGAGAAACAGAGAGGCAAACGGGAAGATTCCATCCCCAGATCCTTCACCATTCCTCAGACTCCCTTGGGGGTGGACCTCTGCATGGACTCTGCCCGTTGTGACCTTGGCGAGTGCCTGGAGGTGCAGCCCATTATCAGGACAGATTGAGTCCAGGTCTACCTTTGGGGAGACTTGTGAGTAACCCATGGCGCTGGGCTAGACCTGGGATGGAGGATGTGATGACTCAGGAAGACTTTGCCCTCCTTTGTCCTCCTTTGTCTTGACTCTGAGGCCCAATTACCTGGATCATCTCACTTCTTCCCTCTTAGAGGATAGGAAAAGGGATCAGGAAGGAATAAACAATCTTCAGCCAGGTTCTTCAGCTGAGGAAGGAAGGAAACAAAAGGCTTTAGGAATATTAATGCTTCGTTATGATGGGTTAGAAAAATGCATGAGAAGAAGAGACAAATGAGCACAGGGCAAGACCCCATGAGGACGAAAAGTCTGGAAAAGAACGGAGGGACCTTTGTTTTAGAGGGATGTCCATCCTGCCCTTCTTTAAGGGATGGGAGTTATGAGCTGAACATCTGTTAGGTGTGCAGAGTGGGCCTTTCTCCATAGGCCTGACTTCACAGAGCTCCTTTTCAGCCTCCCTGAGAGGTGCTTAGCAGAGGGGTAAAGGGGTGCCGAAAAAGTGATAGGAAGTTGCTGGTGGTTGGGGACACAGAAAATGGTGTATGGAAATCACTTCTAGAGGATGTGCCCACAGTGGATGTGAATGAATAAGGTTGGGACATGGCAGGCCCTGGAAGATGAGACCATCATGTATTGTCCAAGGCTGTGTTGTCCAAATGTCTAGTTCATGGTCTTACTCCATCTAAATCCCTTAGCATTTACAATATATGTTAAGGAAAAAAAAAAAAAAAGAAGAAGATAGTAGGAGGGGAAGAATGAAGGGGGGAAATCGGAGGGGGAGACGAACCACGAGAGACGATGGACTCTGAAAAACAAACTGAGGGTTTTAGAGGGGAGGGGGTGGGAGGATGGGTTAGCCTGGTGATGGGTATTAAAGAGGGCACGTTCTGCATGGAGCACTGGGTGTTATGCACAAACAATGAATCACGGAACACTACATCAAAAACTAATGATGTAATGTATGGTGATTAACATAACAATAAAAAAGTAAAAAAAAAATCCCTTAGCATTTAAAACACAGGCTGGTAGGGATAGGCCCCCTAGGGAAACTGTGAATAGGGTTTAACTGTATTTGTTCCTGGGCCAACAGGAGATATTTTTTTGGCATTTATCATATGTATTCCAGCAACACTTTATGAATGAAATAATGTATGAGCATCACCAGTTTGTCTGTGGGGTCAAAGAATGGATTCAGTTAGAGGCATGAGTAACGCTTGAGTCACAGATCTTTGGAGAATTAAATCAGTACAAAAAATTTTTGGAAGGGGAATATACTCATCTTAGGGTTTGCATAAACAGAAATAGCATACCTAGTTTCAAAGAAGAAAAAGAGGTGCTGTTTTCAGTCATTTTGAATGGCTTACCCTCACTTTTCCTGCCTCGTTAAAGCTACCACTTTCTTCGATGATTTCCCTCCTTATTTTTAAATTAAAAACCAAGTTTAGAGACATTATTCACACCTATCAAGAAGCTTTAGCTGGTTCATGGATGATAAAGTGAAACAAGATACGTCAGAGACATCGCTTATTTGAAAAAATCCCTTGGGCAGTCCGGAGGATTTTTGTTGATATAGATTATGAGTATAAGGGGTCCCAGAAAGGGTTTTTTTTTTTTTTTTGCTAGAATGGGGAGATTGCTGTGGGGATGAGGGAAAGATAAAGGGAGGTTATTCAAGAGGAAGGAGGTGACTCAGGCAACAGAGTCAAGACTCGTAACTCAAGGGGCAGAGGCAGAAAGGGGATGACTGACTATACCTGCACCACCAAGGCTTGGCTCATCTTTATCCATAGCATTTATTATTGCCCCTAATTTGTAATGGGGAAGTGAAAGGCTGAGAAGTTAATTTTCACAGGGTTTTGAGGCAAGTGAGCTGCAGTTGGCTATTGCAGCTGGATCTTTCTGCTTTGAGAGTTAAGGTCTTTGTGTGCACTTGGAAACTTGACACCTTATTTGGTGTGCAATAAGATTGATTCTGTCTTTTCTCCCATACATCTTTCAGAGTAGTTCCTATGTTGGGATTTGCCTACAGGATCCTGGAGGGTGGGACCGTGTAGTTATTTTCCCTCATCGTTGTATCCCCAGCGCTAAGAGAGAACGTTGTGAGCAGTGAATGAGTCTCTTGGAAGGCACTGGGGAACTGGGACTCTTCCTTCAGGGTGTGGAGAACACGTGATCTCTTCAGATGCAATGAAGCTTTGGGCAAAGCTCAGGACAGATAGATTTCTTGGATATAGGACAACATCTTTAGAGCAGGGGTGTGTGTCTGTGTCTAAGATAACTTTGAGCCTGGTGGGATGTGTCCTGAGAACCTGTTTTGCATCCACATGGATCCTGGCTGGCATGTGGGGTTGAACTTCCCTTTACAGGCACATGGACCTCCTGACTCGTCCCTTGACCAGCATCTTGTTACTAGTCACCCCATGTAATGCAATATCTGGCCAGCACTGGGTTTCGAGTGTCAGGTTCTTGGAGTGGTCCAGGGTAGATGTATTAAGAAAGGCCTGTTCTATGCCCTTTTGCTTTATGTTTAGTGTAGATGCACCATCGGCTTCCCTATTCTGAGCTCCTGGCTCTGGGTCCCAGGGGGAAGACACGCTTGGTTGGCGTGGCTGCTTTTCCCTGGGTGTTAGTCTTCTCCTTGCCCCCTGACCTGATCGAAGCACCTTGGTCCTGTTCTTGCCCAGATCTCATTCTTGGGGCTGTATGAACTGAATGGGCAGGGAAGTGTGAGTCTTAGAGTTCTAAGGGCCCTTCAAGACCTTCCGGTTGTCATGTTGTTCTTCACTTGGCCATCAGCTGGTCTCACGGGTTAGAAGGAACTGTCTTGAATTGTGATCGGAGTCAGTTGGCAGGGGCCAGGGTGGTGGGCCACAGAAGCACATGCTGAGAGGGGAGAGGAGGAAGCGTGCATCAGCTCTCTGCTTTTACTGTAACCTTGTAAGTGGGAGTGGGCTGGCGAACACTGAATCAGTCTTTAAATCAGTGCATTGTCCTTGGGAGCACAGAGGCCAATTTTCCCCTGATGCGTGTGGCAATCAAACAGGAGAGAAAGAGCTGAAGGTGAGGCAGGAAGGACTTGGATTAGACATTCAGGAGAACCAGCACAGGGGAAATTATAACCAACAGAGATTAGGGATTGCATCTTCTCAAGGAGGCTTTTAAAAATAGGAACTGTTTTCTTGGATCTGGGTGGCGGGGTGGGGGGGGTCTGGAGGTCTTTATATATGGTTATGGAGGGCTGGCCGATTTGATTGCCTTGGGATTCCTCTGGCAAGCCCAGCAGCTGAGAAACCCTCATTCTTTAAATTAGGCAGTCCTGGGAAGAAAGAATGGCAGCCTTGGAGCTAGGGAGGGTGGGGGAAGGGGAGCAGGTAGGTTTCCCGGAGGGCTTTGTGAGGACCACCTGTATTTCATTAGGGAGCTTACCCTCCTCCCTGTATGTTCTCCCTCCCTCTCTCCCTCTCTCCCTCTCTCCCTCTCTCCCTCTCTCCCTCTCTCACACACACTCACCACTCTTCCATCTCCTCCCCATCCGTGATTCCAGTGAAGATGCTGAAGGCACATCACATTAGACTCGGTATCGCTTCCCCGGGCTTGACAGATGCAGCTCTTACAGCTGAGAGCTGGACCAGTCTCCCGGAGCCCGGCTTCCCCGCCTGGCTGTGCCGCCACGAGGTTTACACAGCTTCTTTATGGGAACGGCTCCTTTGTCTCAGGGAAGGAGGGCTTTCCTAAATCCCCCAGCTCTGCCCAGCCCCTATCTGAGAGTAGCGGGACTGGGATGAAACCACAGTGAGGGAGAGGGGTGGAGGTAGAGCCTGCTCGGTTTGCTCACTGGGCAGGGTGCGCGCTGCTTAATTAGCATGAGAATAGACAGACTTTCCTGCATCCTCCCTCAGGGATGGAGAGGAAGGCGCCAAGGCTCTAGCTCCATCCTACCCCATCAGAGCTCCTGGGACTGAAAATGACTCTGGCCCCATTCCTCTGATCCCCCAAGGACCCAGGACCCACAGTGTTGAGAAAAGCTTTGATGGAGCCGGCGGGTGGATCTCCACTCCAGATTTTCCAGCTGTCCCTGCCCCCCCACCGCTCGGGAGCAGGATGCCGAGATGGCTGGTGATGCAGAAGGTATGTGCTTTTTCAGTTCTGGTGCTGATGCTGTGTGTGTGGTGAGGTCTCTGTGGCGCAATGGACGAGCGCGCTGGACTTCTAATCCAGAGGTTCCGGGTTCGAGTCCCGGCAGAGATGGTCACCTGGCAGGTGCCTCTTTTATTTTGTGTGCTGTCATGCTAGGTTGATAATTGTATTTATCTGTCCCCGGAGGTTCTGGGGAAGAGAAAGGAAACCCCTTTCCTTGGGAATCCTGGACCTCCTCTCCTTTTCCCTTCCCTCCCCCTTCATTCTTTCTCTGTTCCCCCTTTATGGATTTTCATTGTCTCGGGAAGGCTCAGATGTCAGCTGCCTGTCTCTGCTCAGCCGGACTGACACAGCCTTTGAATCCTTTGCTTCCTAGGGGAATCACTGGCACACAGGGACCGAGGTGCCAGGCCACGGGTTCTGGGACCACGGTGGTTGGTTCCCTCTTTCTCCTCTGAGAACACAAAAAGGCAGACTGACCCACATGCATGCCCATGAGGAAATGTCCAGCTGTCCTCTAAGGTAAGGGCCCCCTTGACCGGGGTGGGTCAGGAGGCGGATGGGGTTGTGCAGAGGACATTTATTCACCGTCTTTGTCATTGCTGGGGCTTTTTGTGCTAGAGCTCTTCACTCGCTTCCTCATCTACACGGTGAGAGGTGCTCATTGCTCTCGGCGGAATAAACTGCACAGAAGTACACAAATTATGGGGCAGATGAACTTGTCCCGGGAAACTCAAAGGTCTCACGCTCCTTTGGAAAGTTGGTAGCCTTTCCTCTTTGCAGGGCAAGCTCAGAGGGCGGTGTGTGTGGGGAGGTTATTTCTATCATTCCCTTTTTCCATCAAGACATCTCCTCACCCCTCTCTCGTGCTGCATTCCCTTCTGCTCTTCTTCCCTGCCTCATCCAGTGGCCACATTCAGCAAGATTGGGACCTTGGGTTTCTATTCTGGGCTGGTCTGGCTCTCTCTCTCCCTCGAATATTGAGGCCTCCAGTCTATTAGCTAGAGGGACGCATGCCAGGAAGTGACCTCCACCCCAGGTGAACCCAGGAAACCTGAGACACACACCTCTCCTCCGGCTGCGGGGGAGTCAGCATCTCTCCCACGGGGGGCTCTGCTCGGACATCCAGCAGACACAGTCCTGCACTCAGGCTCTGGGAAGCTGGTGTGGGGTGAGGGGGCCAATCCATACTGGGTTCCGCCAAACCCTGCCAAGAGGTGGGAACTGACAGGGCAGTTAGGGTGGGAAACTGATGGTGGGAGACGGATGTTTTCTGCCTTTAGGGCACCTGCACATCTGTAGCAAATTGAAACTCCTCAACTTCTTTTGAAGTACTTTGGTGCTTTAAAGGGACTTAAAATTCTTGCAGTTAAGAGCCCACAGATATTAACTCTCCCCCACCAGCCCTGTGGATGTGCCCTTTGGAAGATACCGGGGGGGGGCCAGAAATTCCTAGGCAGACCCTTCTGGAGTCTTTCTTTTATTGTTAGCTCTGCCTGTGCTGGGTATTTTTGCTTTAAGCCCTGGCCTGAGAGGAAAAATTGGTGTCTGTGGGGTGGGGTGGGGAGGGAGTTTGGCCAAGTGGCATGTCATCTTTTTCAACCATGCCCAGAATGCTACTTCATCCTGGTTCTCCTTCATCATTCTATTGGAACAGGGCTGCTCACAGTGAGAAGTAGGAGGTTGTTCACAGTCGGGGCAAGGGTACAAATTCATTATGGCCTGTTCCAAGGTTTGCTCAACTCTAGAAGCTTTCTAGGAATAAAGCCTCCCTGACATTGTGGGGGTGGGAGGTTGGGGGTGAAGCTGGGAGGGATGTGTGCCCACGTGGGCACTGAATTGAGATTTGTGGAAATGTTTGTTGAGGATGCAGTGTAGCCGGCTCCTCGGCTCGCTACCAGCGAGGACTGAAGCCGTGGACAACCCCCAAACCTGATTTCAGCCAATCATGTCCATTGTAGACCTGGGAATTTGAAGACCATGGTTTAAGAAAACCTCTCTGAACTTGAACTGCTTACTTATAGTGACAAGGTTGTTTTGTGTGTCCTCCAGACGGGAAAATGATGAGAGAGTCCGTGATGCGGCTCCATAGGCTGGTCAGCTCTGCGTTCTGTGTCCTCCGTGGGCAGGAGGGGTGCCTGGCTGCCAAGTGGGGAAAGGGAAGGGTGCGGATGGTCAGCCCCTGCCCAGCACACCCAGGGCAGCTGTGGGCCATCAGCTGGGGCTGATACTGACTCGTGCTGCCCCAGGGAAGAGGAGGGGCTGAACTTGCCAGCTGGTGGAATCCTTCAGAGAGCAGATGCTTCCTCTGTGTCTTAGCTGGGAGCCTCGCCTCAGCCAGGTGGGTAGAGGTCCCTGCAAGCTCTACCACTCAAGGGAACTAGAAGCTTCCACGTGCTCACACGTCAGCCAGCCTCCGGCTACCCCAGTCTCGGGGGGGGTGGTGTCCTGGGGACTTGAAGAAGGGTATCACAAGCACTGGGGGCAAGATTTCTCACACTGGTAAAAATTTCTTTATATGAGATAATAGCTTTCTTCTTAATACATGAGAGCTAACTTCTGATTTATGAATATCATAATTTCTGTATTGTAATGATGCTCAGAACGTACAATAGAAATCGGCGCTTTTTTTTTTTTATAAAGTCACTTCACTGGAGGACTCAAATGCTTCAGCGGCGCTAGAGCTGGTCATTAATTACAAGGTATGCGGGCAAGATGTGCCTTATTTATTACTGTATTCTCAGTGCCTGAAATATGGTAGGCACTTGATGGATATATTTAAAGAATTAACGCTGACTTAGATTGGCTATAATTTATGTAGATGGAAGAGGAAGGAATGTGGCTTCTAGAGATCAGGAACACAGGTGGTATCTTCAGGCATTAGTTCGTTTACTTTACAAATATTCATCGGGCTCCCGCTTCCTGCCACCTGCCACGTCCTAGGTCCCAGGATCCACAATAGCGTCGCCTGCGTGTTCCCGCCGCAGAGATAAAAGACAGATGGGCAAATGCCATTATGATAGCATTGTAGGGAGAGGTACCTCCGGGAGGGACTTAACTGAGGAGAAGAGGTAGACTGATGTGAGGCGTGGCGATCACGGGAGACTTTCACAGGAGGAGACATTTGGGCGAAGAATGAGTGAAACCAGAGAGATCAATTAGACCCAGAGGGTGGGCGTTTCAAACAGAGAAAGAGCCAGAGCAGAGACCCTCAGCTGGGCACGAGGTAGATGGCTTTGGAGGACAGCACCGAGGTCAGTGTGGTTGGTGTGGAGGGAGGCGTGGGGAGATGGGTTCAGACATTCATATGGGGCACGTCCCAGAGGGTGACGCTCCCGTCACGCCCAGCTCGGCCTTGGAAAGTCAAGCCAGTGTTTGCTCGCTTCTCCTTTACTTCTCCAGCAATGAAATTCATAGGTCATGTAGGCTTCCTGTGCACAAAATTTAAAAAGTTGTAATATCCTCATTGTAATATAAGACAAAGGAAGTAAGTGTGTAATAATTGATTTGTATGTTACACTAGCACTCTTATACTTGAAGAATCACCTTCAGTTCAGTGCCTGTGGATATGTAAGTGCAGAAAAACGCAGGCTTGCCTCCCGGCCGACTTAAAACTCATGAGGGATGTACTGTGTAAACTGTACCAGCAGGTTGTGACTCCCCAGACTGGTGAACACTGTTGATAAATTTGTAATCCAGACAAATTCGATCTTCTTGCAAAGATTGCAGCATTTTGCATTCACGGATATTTTGGGACGTTTTCAATCATGCAGAAAGCTCTGTATTTATACGTAAAAACAAGTTAGATCCGAGGCCCAGACACCAACAGCTAGCTTTTCAGTAGGTCATTCAAAAGAAGTACGCAACAGGAGGCGAGTCTGCATTGTGTGAGAGGCACCTGCCCCTTGGGGGACAGGGCACGCAAGCCCCAGGTACCCTTTCTCTCTACAACTGGTTGTGGTGCCCAGTCTTTACCAAAACAAGAAATTACACCAGATTTTCAAAACACCTCCTCCCGGCAATTCCAGACCCACCGGCCAGCGCTGACTTAAGGCTTGCAGGTCAGGCTTTCCTTCATGCTAATGAAAATCATCAGTGGGTTTGAGCAGAGGAGGGATGGAATCTCATTTACATGTTACAAGGCTAATTTTGGCTGTGGGTGAGGACTCGTGTGGTTGGGAACAGGGGCATGTTTGCAGGTCTGCCGGACGCAAAGCCTTCTAGAAGCAGCGAGGTGTGGCCCTGTGGTTCCCAAGTGTGGATGCCAGTACCACCAGCCGCGGAGGGTTTTATAACAATATCCACCCAGAAAAGTGATTAAGCATCTGTGGACAGCTGAGCTGGCATGGATCACTTACATTTTGTCTGAGAACTAACTACTTGTATTTATTGCTATTACAATGGTTGTCACCTACTAGCAAAAATGTGCATTTTGTTTGTGTTTAAAAGCCACAGCAAATGGAACTTACTCCCCCAAACGTTATTTTGGTGTTTATGTCCTCAGTAATTTCCACAAATTATAATGGAACAGGATGTCTGTAAACTTCTCTGTGTCCTCCCTCGGAGTTGGATCTTTCTGCTTCGGTGGGGGTGATGTTGTTCCACCGGGAACTCTAAGGAGGGGTCCCTTGACGGAGCGGTGGTGGGACATTGATATGATGCGAGGTGCTGGGAGCAGGAGGTCAGCAGAGGAGGTGACAGCCCGGGGACAGCGGACCTGGGACTTAGTCTGAGGTCTTGCTGTTTGCTGGTTCCCGGGCATGCAATAGGCCTCTCGAGCCCTGATTTCCTCATCTAGAGACGAGCCAAATAATACCTAGAATTAAATAAGGTAAAATGTCCAAGTGTCTGGAGAGTCAGATGCACAGTAGGGGCCCAAACACATACCAGCTTCCTTTGTTTGTGGACAGTGTTCCAGCCATCAGGCTGGTTTCCTGGAGACCATGGTGAGGATGTGGGGGACTTGGCCACGGGCCACATGTCACTGTCCCTTGGAAATGCCTGGGCATCATGGAGTGCCGGGGGGAGTAGAAAGGCACAGAGTTACCCTCCGAGGGCATGTCCTCTCCCTGCAGTCACTGTGGGGGCCCTGCCTTTCTCTCTGGGGCTGAGCACTGAGGTCGTGCAGGGATCCTTTGCAGCCTGGGGAACAAGCCTCCACAGGCCTGTGGAGAGGCCCCTGTAAGCCTCTTAGGCGAGCAGTGCAGGGCTTTAAAGCCAGGGATGAGGCAAGTCCATCCCCACGGTGTGGGGGAGAGGAGCCCAGAGCGAGGCTCCTGACTCCTGGCCAGGGCCCTTCCTGGGAGCATTCCCTGCCGCAGACCCGCCTCCGTCCGGAGTCTGGGAGGAGTGTCACCTGGAAGTCACTAACAGCCCCTCATCATCTTTTCTTTTGCTACATCTATAGGCCACTTTTGAGGAGAGAAATGGCAGCATCCAGAATAGCAGACAATTTAGAACCAATTATATTTATTTTGGAGGAATACAAAACCTTTTTTCTTTTCTAATTATGCACAAACTTT